ATTTTTCCTTACCCTACAACGTCCTACTTCAACAGATCATGACTTAACAGAATATAGCCAGAGAGATGCCACATACCAACTCAAAAGGAAGACGATAACGTCATTTATTTAGAAGTAAATGCTTACCTGAAAATACAAAAATAAAAGTAAATGTTCAGGCTACACAGGAATAATGCATTTTTAAATCACACCAAGCACTGTGTCTGTCACATATTAGATCTCAATTGAGAGGTACATATTATCACATTTCATTATGATCAGAAGAAAGTGAAAGTAATGCCTTCAGTTCTTGGTACCAAACTTTAAGAGGACTAGATAGAGAGGAAAGCAATTCAAAATACAGACGATCCTTGATTTATGGTGGGGTTCCATCTCAACAAACCCAATGTAAACAGAAACTCTTTAGTCAAAAATGCACTGAAAAGTGCCTACCCTACCTTATAGCTTAGCCCAGCCTACCTTAACAAGTTCAGAACACAAACATTAGCCTAACCACGCAATTATCTTAATTACCTTCCTCTTCTCACCACCAGTAGCAGACTTAGATGGCAGTTTTGTAGACATGATGGGATGCAAAAATACAAAAACACAATATCCAAAAGTTGCTGGCAACACAGTGCACCACAAAGTATCGACTGTTTTCCTCCTTAACTGCTTGGCTGAGCAGAGCTCTAGCTTGCTGCCACTGCCCAGCCCCATTAAAGCATATCATATCACAAATTCCCAGCTCAGGAAAAGATCAAAATTCAAACTACAGTTCCTACTGAATATGTTACTTTTGCACCATCATAAAGCTGAAAAAACATAAGTCAAACCATCAAAAGTCAAGGACCATATGAGTGTCACAGAGCTACATAAGCCAAACAATACTACATACCTAGCAAGCACCAGGTGATCAATAAAAAGATTAGCTGTAAAACAGAGAAATGTGGACAATGAGATGGTATAAAAAATTATAAACCATAAATTGGAGAAAATAAAAAAATACACTCAAGTATTGCTAGTTGCAGAAGAGAATGGTACTATTTTTATGGGAAGGCAATTCAACTGCTATCAGAATTTTTAAAGCACGTAACCTTAGATCCAAGAATTCTACTTCTAAAATTTTATCCTAAAGATAAATCAGAACAGTGGTTCTCCCACCAGGGGTCATTTTTTTTTTTTTTTTACCCCCTCAAGGAACATCTGGTGATAGGTGCAGACTATTTGGCTGTCACAACTTAGGATGGGAGTGCTACTAGCATCTAGGTTCACAGAAGGCAGGAAGTACTAAACATCCTAATACACAGCCAGCTCCCACAACAAAAAATAAACAGTCCCAACAACAGTAGTGCTGAGATTGAGAAATCCTGTACAACAACATATGCAAAATGATATAGGTGCATAGTTACTTGTAATAGCAAGAGAAATATCACTGTCCATTAATAGAGGATACAACGGAATAGTATTCATGTCAAATAAATAAATAAATAAAAAGAGAGAGAGCGCTACATATGCACCAGTAGGAAACAGTCTCCCAGTTAGATGAAGACCAATATTTACAATAAATATCAATTGTAAGGGAGGGAGGAAAAGGAGAAATACACAGTTTAAATGTATTTGCAAAGATAGCATCTCTGGAAATATACACACGAATCTGGTTACAGTAGCTGCCTCTAGAAGGGGAAAGAGAGGTTACTTTAATTGTTGGTCTCTTTTAAAACCGTATCATTTGGAATAGTCAATAGTCTCAAGGTTCAAACAAGCTGTGAATCCTCACTTCTATCACTTCATTAGTAATGTTTGAGTGTAACTAAGAGTAAAATTACTTAATCTCTTTAAACAACTAAAGGACTGCTCAAAATTATGAGACAAATGTTCAAAATACATTTGTCCACTAATACTACTGTTGTCACCATTCTAAGCTCCTGTTACTAAAAACAAGCAGGGGAATTCCGAAGAAGTGAAGCCATTACACAACTGAGAAATACACATTCAATGAGCACTCCAGCCTAAAGGCGCTTAAAATCCCCTAACCTGGCTGCAGCCTGAGATCCCATCCATAAACTGCAAGTGATCAGACAGGCAGACCAGTCACAGCTAGTGTCTGCAGAGCACCTGTCGAGAAATTGAGGCGGGGGTGGGGGGGTTGGGGAGGGTGGGGGGTGGTAGAAATGTTTGATGTTTAAAGGTGGTACCCTGAGCCAGTGCTTCAGAAAAGATTGAATGTCAAGGATTTTAAGTCAATAAAGCAGATACCCATGTATGGACAGCAGGGATGTGAGTAGTGCAGGCCTTCAGAAAACCCCACTCCTTTGGCCACTACAGGTTATACTTGTTTTCCATGCAAGATGCATATCTGGATCACTTGAGCCTCAGCCCACATGAAATAAACCAGAGTCTCCTTGAGTGGGGATCTGATTTGTTTTTAAGAGACTTGGGAGATTCAAAGTATGGATATGAGAACCACTGGGTTAGGGGCCCTGACTAGTTAGGTCAGCGAAGACCAGCTGGAAACTGAGAACTGACAACCCATTACCTATCTTTGATTACAAATTCCTCCTAAGTAAATAAATTGTATCCAATTCTCTAACCAAAAAAAAAAAGGGGGGGGAGGGGAGAGAGAATATAGACACACTGAAGTATACTGATAAAAGAGTTGGTGAAATCTAAAACTACATCACAGGACCATGAAAACTGGTAGCAGTCATATAACATTAGACAACATCAGGGATCTCAGAAAATTAGATCAAGTTGCCGGTCATCTAGAAAAAGCAGATTTGCTTTGGACACCTTGAGAGAGTTGGGAGTCACGGATGCAAATTTTACCGTAAGGTTAAGAATCTAACTTTCATACCCTGCTGCTGGTAATGGTAAAGCCCCTGGGAAAACAGGATGCTGTTTAGGAGGGAAAGGGTATAATCTGGTTAAACATAGTTACTACATGACCCAGCAGCTCCCTCCCCAGGTATACATTCAAGAGAAGTAAAAACAACTGTCTACATAAAAAATGCCACACTAATGATTACAATGACGTTAATTCTGACCAGCCAAACTACGAACTGATGAATTAAAAATCAAAATGTGTTAAGGGAATATTATTGAGCCATAATAAAAGTGAAATATTGATACATGCAACAATATGGATGAACATTGAAAACATCATGCTAAGTGAAAGAAGCCAATCACAAAAAGAACACATACTCAACTCTACAGAGCCATAAAGTAGATTAGTGGTTACTGAGGGCTGGAGACAGGGGAGGGAATAGAGTATGAGTTTTCTTTTTGAGTTGATGAAAATATAAAATTGACTGTGGTGATGGTTACACATATCTATGAATATAACATATACTGAATTGTATACTTTAAAGGGAGGAATTACATAGTATGTGAATTCTATCTCAAAGCTGTTAAAGAATCTAAGATTGGGTTGTTCAAAAAGAACAGATTGCTCAGGGAGCTATTTACCCATATCTGCATTCTGCAGGGTGCCAGATACATTACGATGGTTAGACCAAGATGTCTTTTAATATTCCTTTCCAAACAAAGCTGCTACCTACAAGATTTTGTATGGGAATACACTTTCAATTTCTCTTGGGTTAAATATATGTAGGAATGACTGAGTGTAAGGAGGTGTCGGTTTAGTTTTTTAGGAAACTGCCAGCCTACTTTCTAAACTGGCTGTACCACTTTGCTTTCTCACCAGCAGTGTATGCAAGTTCCATTTTCTCTACATCCTCACCAACACCTGATATATGATCAGTCTTTTTTAATTTCAGACATACTAATGGATGTGAGGTGGTATTTCAGTTTTCATTTGCATTTCCCTAAAGGCCAATGATATTGAGCATCTTTTCATGTGCTCAGTTACCATAGGTATAACTCCTTTGATAGAGTTCAAATTTTCTGCCTATTTTTATTAGATTATTTTATTATTGAATTTTGCAACTACTCATTTTTTAAATGTCAGGTTTCCCCTCAACGACTGACTAGTCATATAAAATAAGAAAACATTACAATGACCTATACACTTAAAAATAGTTTTTTAAAAAAGAACTGATCCCATCAAAAATGGGAAAGCACTTCATCACAAATGCACAAAATGTGTGAAACACCAAATGACTTTGTTCAATTTACCACAAACTCAGAAACAATCCTTCCTAATTGTGCAAAGAAAAATCACTGAAACATAAAAGAAAAAACCACAACCTCAAACTCTAACTTCAGAACTAAGTCTAAAGCATTATAATAATGCTCCTTCACCTTTTTTTTAACTTCTTTTAAAGTGACTACTATGCCTCACTGGCATTATATTTCTATTGAGTAGCACTGAACAAAAACTTTTAAAGCAGACCCTGAAAATGTATCTCCAACTAGTAAGATAAAAAATACATATAAATAATACTTTCCCCTCCATATTCCTCTGATGTGTGAAGAAAATGGTACAATGAAAGGGGCTTTGAACTGGAACTCAGAGGTCTTCTTAAGTTTGGGACACAATTCTGTTACGATTTGGTCTGTGACCTTGAATAAGTCATTCAGCTTCCCTGGATTTAAGTTTCCTCACCAATTTTTTCTTTTTTAACCCAAAAAGTCAATAAAATTTTATTATGTTCTACTTTTTACAAGGCATTATTCTGTACTGTAGATCTTAAGTTTATAATTTAACAGGAGATACGAAACAGACACCCTAACACAAGGCAAAAACCCCCTTCCTTCAAGGAAGCTGTCAAGCATTTATGATTGTGTGGCACGTGTATGTGTGTGTTTTAACGGAAAAAAGAGTACCTTAAAGGAGGTAGGAAAAAATTCCAAGCTAGGTACAGTTCTACAGACACTGAATTCAAAGTCTGTAATCTGAAAAAACATTCATCACATGGCATTATTACGTAGCTGGACTTGATGATATTCAAGTCCTCCCCATGACCATAATGATACAGTAAGTAAATGACAAGCGCTCTCCATGAGCATAATGATACAGTAAGAAGTAAATGACATGCCATAATGAGGTTCTAGCTTACCTGAAGAAATGATTCTGCAGTACAGTTCAAATTCAATGACGACCAAATATTCTCCAGCTTCCAATTCCAGAAACAAGACTTTTTAAAAAGAAGTCACCATTTGTGATATGCTCACAGATGAACAGAGTGGTTTATTCTTCAGCAGAAACTAGTTAGAAAGCTAGGCTAGTATCTTAACAGGCTAACCACAGCACTCATTTATGACAGTACAAATTAAAAAGCATACAAGCCCCACCCTTTGTCTTTGGAGGTAACCATCTACCAAGACACCCAGATGCTACTATTTCTAGCATTTCCATAACAGGATGTACATGACAACTACTATTCTAAGGTCACAAACTCAACAATGAAAAACCACCCTGGAAGTAAATTTATAAAAAAGTATGTCACATTGTATAAGCTAAACTTATAATCAAACTCTAACAACTCCATATACAAGAATTTCCTTGTTTACAGCATTACTTGGTGATAGAATATTCCCATTTCAAGAACAAGAAAGTACAAGTTAGTGAATTTAACTGTCTTTCTTGAGGAAAGGAAACAACAGCATTAAGTGTGCTAAGAAATACATACGATGGTTCTGTATTTTTAAAAAAAAGCTCAGCCCTGGATTCTCATCTGTCATCTTCAAGAAAGGATGGAGCAAGACATCAGGGATGCATTCCAACTCGTTCCAGTTTCCCGCAGTAACTTTTTATCAAATAGCTGTAAATGTTATCTAAATCTGTTAAAGTGTGTTCTTATTCTGAGCCTGATATCTACCTCTAAAGATTAAAATTTTCCCATGTTTCCTAAAACCTATGACTAGTACTTCTCATTGTTCCCCATCTAGTTTAAGGAATAATTGAAGGCATATCCTTAGTTGTATTATTTCAAAATTTGGTAGATAAATTTGTGTTTGCCCATTCAAACCCTTCAATGTAAGTTTTCAGTCATAGCCCTTCCACACAGCTCTCTTTCCTGAAGAAAAGAGAAACCTAGAGGTAAGCAGTATGGTACAGAAGACTGGATGCCAAGTTGGGAGGTGTCACTTCCAGTATCGCAGTGGTCTCCTATTCACTGTAGATCTGGACAAGGTTGCTATTGGCTCACCAAAAATGAAAATGTTAAACAAGATAACCTGCAATTTCTCATCCAGATCTGAAATGCTTATTGTTTTAACTTGTAGTGCAGTTGCTTGATCATTCTGGATACCCTTTTCTGGTCCTTCTCCGATGCTAGTGTTGCTGAGTGGAAGAAATTACAGCAATAGGTCATTAAATAGTGTCCCCTTGAAAGTGTATCATGACTTTATACACAAGTAAGGTCTTTCTTTCAAATCTCAAGCTCCTTTTGACATCAAGGACTTCTCCAAGAGAGACATGAGAGGGGGAAATAGATGGTGATGTGAATGGGTCAGGCTTGGACCTCTGTGAGCTGAGCCTGGATGATGGGTACATGGGGGTTCATTATTCTACTTCCCTATGTCTGAAATGCACCATAAAGCAAAGTTGGGAAAAACGTCACTGTCAAAGTGAGAAAAGAACACCAGACTGGCATCATTACAGGGCTCTTTTCTACGGTCTCTGGCACAAGGATAACTGCTTTTCACACCATTCCCCCTGTAACAAGATAGGATCGATATGACTTGAAGCTAAGCAGTCTCTCAAAGTTCAGCTAAAACTAAAAGAAAATGAACCAGCAAGGAAATTCTTCGAACATTCTCAAGAGGTTATCAACTGGAAGACCCATGGCACAGAGGGCATGAGCAGTGAGAGGCACTGACATCTAGTACAGTATGGAGCTTACTTCTACAGAGCTCTACTGCATGTTTCCTATGTTATTTTTTGGTATATGTCCCATAACTTCAACTGCAAAAGGTAAAGCCCAACGTGAGACATAAAGTGAGGAAACAAACACCACCCTCTAGTAGGGGGACGCCTCGCAGCGCGTGAAATAAAAACAGAAAGGCAAACAATTGGGGGTGGTGGGTGTAAGACATGCTTTAAGCAAAAGAAAAATGGGGTTCCTTTCGAGAACCAAAAGCGGATACATCCCAGAGAAACCAAAGAACATAAGAAAATGATATGGGAGAAGGCGCTTTCTGGTGAGCCCTAAAACTCCTGGCACTCGGCCGGGAGGCCCAGTGGACGCCGAAGAGTCCATCTGGAGAGGGGCGGCCGGAGGAGGGAATGTGGAGCAGCCAGCGCGGCACCGGCCTCCGGGAGCGGCGGGGAGGAGAGCGCGGCGCGGGGCGCCCGGCCGGGGTGGCGGGGAGCGGGGTGCGAGGGCGCCGGGGTCCCGGCCCGGGGAGGGGCGCGGACTGCTCCACCGCAGCCGAGGGGGCGGGCCGTTCCAGCGGCCGGGAAACCCCAGGAAGCGGTAATGGTGTCTCCTGACGCCAGAGCGGCGTAGGGAGGGTGTCCCCGGCTCGCAGGCCCCGCGCGGGGCGCCTGGCCCCGAACCCCACTCCTCATCTCGGCTCCCCTGAGGCCGGTGACCTTCAAAAAGGGGTCGACTCGGCCCTACTTACCGACCGCGAGGTTCCGGGGCTCCAAATCCCCCGTTGACGGTCCCTCCCGCCCCTGTCCGCCGCCGCCGGCCGAGGCGTGCGTAAGGACGTGCGCGCGCCCGCCCTTTGTCTACGCGGCTTTGACGTGACCCCCTCGCGTCCCATCCCCACCCCTCCCGCCGTCTAATCTCACGCCCCGCACCCTCGCGCCGGGCGCGCGCCGGGTGGGCTGGGCGGGGTCCCCGAGGGGCGGGGCGGGTGAGGAGGCGGGGCTCCGCGGCACCTGCGCGGGGTCGCGCCGGGGAACCGTCCCGTCGCCCCCTGGCGGGCGAGGGGTCGCAGCCAGGGCGGGACAGGTGCGGACGTTAGGAGGCTCTGGTCCCCCACCTCTGGCCTCGGTGCGTGCCCCCAGCGTTCCTTCTCTGATGAGGAGGCTTCCTAGACATATCCGAGTGAAGGTTCGCCTCACTGGCGTCTTCCCCGAAGAGAGACTCACCTAGGGTGAAATCATCCCTTATTAGCAAGAAGGGGCACCCTGTCATCTTCAGATTTTGAGAGTATCAGTGAGGTACAGGTCTGCATGTAAAGAACTTAGCTTGGCAAGCTCAAGAAATGTTAGCTTGCCATCACCACCACTATCACCATCATCACTGTGCTCCTCATCATCTTCATCATCCCTAGTCTCACGCGCCTTAGTAGTGAAGCCACGATTTCCAAGGGTTGGTGTAGACAATCTCCGTGTTTCCTTGCAGTTGTAATTCAACCTCAGCTTGGAACCGATCTCTCACTAAATTCTCCCTGGTGCCAACGATAGTTTGCACATGTATTTCTCATGACCTCTTCAAACTTCAAAGGCCTGACCCAACCTTATCATCTCCCTTAAAATTGGTTAGACTTAAAAAATATAGCCCTTCTCCTCCCTGTTCTCAACCTCTATACCAAGTTCTCTCCCCTATATTGCTCACTGTTGTCAGATTGCCATTCTGTGCCAAATAATCTTACAATAGATGTTTAAAGTTCATATTCTTAGAGTCTCAAAATTGGGGACTGCTCCAAAATATCAACCTATTTGGTCCTTATGTATATATTCACTTAAACATTTACCCATTCCCTTAACAAACTTTCATTAAGCCCTTACTACATGCCCTGCTTTTGCCAACTTCCCAATGATAAAAATCGAAAATGCATGGCCATGTTCAATCTTCAACTAGATTAAGTTCCATAAAATAAAGAAACTGGACATCATACCTTTTTGTATCCTCCCCAATGCCAGGAATAGTGTTTTTAAGTGGCCATTACCTTCTTAAATGCTCTTTGGTTTCTTATTCTGGTCTCTTTTCCCACCAGAACCAGACAAAACTTAAAAGCAGTCCATCAATCTGCTCTGCTCTCATGTAATCATGTTCACAATCCTCACTAGTCCTACCCTCTATTTCAGTTCTTTGTATATAGTAACTTAGAAATTAAAAAATGTCTCACACATATTAGAAATTCAGCCATAGCAGTGTTTATCTAGAGAGGCGGTCTGTTGCTTGTAATATGACCAGTTTTCTCACCAACACTAAATTTCTTGTACTTTGAGTTTGGGCTGTCTTTAAATTAGTTGATGATATTTTCACATTCTAGAATAGAAATACCAAAAAAATGAGTAATTTGGGCCTCCCCAGTGGCGCAGTGGTTGAGCACTGGGTTGGAAGCTGCCCGCAGCCTCTGCAGTGGTGGTTCGATCCCCGGCTGCTCCCCGGTCACCGGAGGAGGGTCCCACATGGCGCAGACCTCTCCTGCCACCCGCTGCTCCCCTCAGCAGTGTACTTCCGTCCTTCTGCCTACTCTGGCTCTGGTGAATTCTCTCACCCTCCCGTGCTTCTGACTGTACCCAGTGCTTGTATAAATAAATAAATAAATCTTTAAAAAAAAAGAGTAATTAAAAAAATCTGATGAAGAATAGTCTCTTAAAATTAGGGGACCTCTGCGCTTAAGGTCTCAGTGAGAGGTTTAGCAATCCTCACCTGATCCTAATTTCGAGTTCATTTGCAAAGCATGCCTCTCCAATGGCTTACCGTGCGGATAGCACGCAGTGCTATGAACTGGAAGGACAGTAGAATAATCCCGTGGGTGCTACATCATCTCTCCAGTCACCTTTTCCATGTACTAAGACTTTGATAGTCATCAAAAGGATCCACAACCATTTACTACACTCTCAAAAACAGCAATGCTCATTTCCAAGTACCAAAAGAAAAGGTTCAAAAAAGCAAAAGTGTGTTCTTTAAAGAAAAAAAAGGTTAATTGTGGCAACATACTGGTAAAATTTGCTGTCTTAATCCTCTGTAAGTATACAGTTCAGTAATGTTAAATATATTCACATTGCTGTGACCAATTTCTAGAATTTTTTCATCTCAAAAAACAGCAACGCTGTACCCATGAAAGACTCCCCTGTCCTTGGTAACAGCATTTCACTTTCTATGAGTTTGGCTACTCATACTTCATACTCATTATTTCATAGAAGTGAAATCAATATTTGTTACAGTTACAATGTTTGTCTTTTTGTGACTGGTTTATTTCACTTAGCATAATATCCTCCAGATTCATCCATGGTTTGTCTGAATTTCCTTCCTTTTTAAGTTTGAGTTAGATTCTGCTGTGTGTATATCCCACATTTTCTTTATCCATTCATC